GCGTGCGTGCGTGCATGTGTGCGTGCGTGCGTGCGTGCATGTGTGTGTGTGTGTTGTGTTAACTCTATTCTCTGCTATGTTCATTCTCTCTCGCGCGTGCCCCCTCTCCCTCTCGCTCTCTCTCGCACTCTCACTCGCTCTCTCTTTCGCTTTGTTTCCCCTTTGCTTCTCTGCGTCGTTCCCCTACTCTCTATCTCACCCTTCTTTCTTTCTTTCAGTCTCTCCCTCGTCCTCTCTTTCTCTCTCTCTCCCTCTCTTTCTCTCTTTGGGTTTTCCCTCCCTCTCCATGTCTTCACCAAGTTACTGTGTTAATTAGTGCTCTTTGTATAGCTTCGGTATTCGTTAATGACTGTTCAATAAGTTATCATGGTTTCGCCACTTTGCCGTAATTGAGTTTTTGCATGACATTGATTCATTGTATTACGGGATTTCTAGTCACGCCTCCCTCCCTCACGCAACACCCATCTCTCACGGAAGATTAAACACACCATTCTCTTCAACATTCGTCTTTTATATTGCGATCTTTTTTTTACATTCCCGTTTGCGTTCGACCATGAACGTGCGTGCGTGCGCGCGCGTGTGTGTGCGTTTGTCCGTGTGCGTGCGTGCGCGTGTGTGTCTGTGTTTGTCCGTGTGCGTGCGTGTGTGCGTGCGTGCGTGCGCGTGTCTGTGTTTGTCCGTGTGCGTGCGTGTGTGCGTGCGTGTGTGCGTGCGTGCGCGTGTGTGTCTGCGTGTGACGTCAGATTTACGCCACGGCCAGGCTCGCAGGATTTCGCGAGCTGTGCGTTGCAGACAAAGTGAATAATTGATACCTTCTTCCCGCCACGCGCCCGCTCTGTACCACTGCTAGAATTAATTAGATTACGCCCGCAAGTTTTCTTATTGCATATAATATTGCTTCTTATGCTATACTTTTTGAAGTAACGTATTTAACGCGCTATGAAATCCATAGATGTCGCATCGGAAGTGTGATGGTAACAGAAGTTTTATTTTCTTACTCCTGGCCACATGATCATACACAAGCAAAGAGAGAGATAGAAATCGACAAATCTACTAGAGTTATCGCGTTGGTTCATAACGGAAATGCACAATCAGGGGCTGGAGGACGCTACTAGGGCCCTCGGGCCTAGATGCAATCGCTTTATTTTTATGAATGAGAGCTTGGCTCGCGAGGCATTGTGGGTAGTTTCACCTGCTTTCTGCATCAGCTGGTCTGGTATATCAAATATTTGCGTATATCTCGTATATTCGCTGATACACGTTGATAGGGGAATTTGTTGATCATTATATACGCTTTATTGGCTTACACTGAACAGCTCGATATCAAAATATTAACTCTCATAGCATTTTTACCTAGACGGCTACCCATAAAGCTACCACTTCTACCCACCGACACTTATAAACGTGTACAATGATTTTGCGTTTTTTAAATACGTTATTTGGGCCGCGATTTTTATGCCGTAGTATATAGATCAGAAGTAGATATTATCTACTTCTGATATAGGTGTACACAGAGCAGCCATGTGGCTAGCCGAAATAGTGACGTGTTACGCACCCTAGTGGTGCTTTTACGTAACCTTCTCACGACCTTCAAGTTCATTCAAGGTCATTCCAGCGTGGTGCACGGAAGATGATTCCTTCTACTGTAAATCACCTGTTCCTCATCGATCTATTATTAATAAAATTAGTGATTGATTTGTTATTGATTGTTGTTATTCATGGCCGCTCATCAGCTGGATGCGTGCTATTGTTGTCGTTGTGCATCGTGTTTCACTGGTTAATACGCCAATTAATGCAATGCAGGATAATGCAACTAATCAAGAGTAGATAAAGGCTTATTCTTTATCTACTCCTGATCGCATCAAGAGCTAATCAGCACGGTGTTATATAAGTGTTATATACAAGGTTATGTTGGTGACGGTGATACAAGGTTAAGTGTTATATACACGGTGTTTATAAGATGTTTATTAGCTCTTGATTAGGTGTTGGTTCTAAATTCTACCATAGATATAGAATACATATTCTATATCTATGATTCTACCGTTTACATCACAGTAAGCCTATATCAGGGCTAGATAATGGCAAAATGCCTATATGCAGCCATTCTCACGTACGTGCGTACCCCCGCATGCTTACTGTCCTAATTATCAACGCCCCGTTTCACTGCATTGTGTGATGGATAGAGAAGTGATGGGCCCGCTTCGCATCATGGCCGCTGGCACGTGACCTACGGATTACCCCCCCCCAGGCGACAATTAAAGGTGTATCTCAGCAGTAGCCTGTTGTTCTCTGTGTCACTGCCTGCCTGTGCGCAGAGAGGGAGTCCGGAGTTTCTGTTCTCGACTCTCTAGGGCCCGCGGACCCACTAGCCTAGATTCCTCTATCCCCGCCACACAAGTATAGTGAGCCCAGTCACAGAAGACCGGTTACCTGGCTTATAGCTAGGTATGTGTGTGTGTGTGTGTGTGTGCGTGTGTATGTGTGTGTGTATGTGCGTGCGTGTGTGTGTGGGTGTGTGTGCGCGCGCACGCGCGTGTGTGTATTTATTTATTTATTCATTTATTTATTTCCTTCTCTATTTATTTTATTCATTTATCAGCAGTGAATAAAAGCAAATTTGTTTTAAATTACTCCTGTTATTATTCACACATAAATCGCTGTTCCGTTTACCATCTCTTCTCCCTATCCGACCTCTCCCTCTCCTCTCCTCTCTTCACGCCTCTAGTTAGTTCTTTCACGGAAGGCAGGCGTGTGGGGTTGGATACGTGAATAATACATAAGTTCTGGCTGTAACCCAGACGGAGCAATCAGTCAGGTATATAGACAGGTATAGAAACAGGTAGGTAGCATGCAGCATGAGGCAGGTAGTAGCTCGATCCCTTCCAACCCGCGTGCAGACGTCAACATCGCTCTCACATCCCAGGCAAGCAGCGAATTAGACACAGGATTGAGAGTGTAGTGTGTGAGGTACACTGCAGCGTGAGCATGTTACGTGCGATTCCGGATGAAATCTACGGATAATCTACTATGTGTTACTATACTGTGTTTATATATGTGCGCTCTACTATGTGTAACACTAATGTAGACAAACCTCGATCTCCTTCTTCGTGCGTAACAGCGGCTGTTGTGTGTGTGCGTGCGTGCGTGCGTGCGTGCGTGTGTGTGTGCGTGCGTGCGTGCGTGCGTGTGCGTGCGTGCGTGTGTGTTTGTGTGTGTGCGTGCGTGCGTGTGTGTGTGCGTGCGTGCGTGTGTGTGCGTGCGTGCGTGCGTGCGTGTGTGTGCGTGCGCGCGCGTGTGTGTGAGTGCGCGTTCAGGTAGCGAGACCGTACACCCTCCTCGATCGTGTGTATACGGCAGGTGCAAAGGTGAGCCGGCGTGCGGTGTTGACGCCAGATAGGAGCCGCACGACGCATTATGAGTGAAGCAGACGAAGACATGAACACGAGCGTCAACGGCGACCGATTCGTCGAACATATCAAGCTGCTGCACGGTGAGTGTGCTTGCCTACCTGTATGCTACCTGTTTGCTACCTGTTGATTACCTTATGCTACAAGTGTGCTACTTGTGTGCTACCTGTATGTTACCTGTGTGTTACTTGTGTGTTACCTGTATGCTACCTGTGTGCGACCTATGTGTTACCTGTGTGCTACCTATGGGTTACCTGTGTGCTACCTATGGGTTACCCGTGTGCTACCTATGGGTTACCCGTGTGCTACCTATGGGTTACCTGTGTGCTACCTATGGGTTACCCGTGTGCTACCTATGGGTTACCTGTGTGCGACCTATGGGTTACCCGTGTGCTACCTATGGGTTACCCGTGTGCTACCTATGGGTTACCCGTGTGCTACCTATGGGTTACCTGTGTGCTACCTATGGGTTACCCGTGTGCTACCTATGGGTTACCTGTGTGCGACCTATGGGTTACCCGTGTGCTACCTATGGGTTACCTGTGTGCTACCTATGTGCGACCAATGTGCTATCTGTTGATTACCTTATGCTACATGTGTGCTACTTGTATGCTACCTATGGGTTACCTGTGTGTTACCTGTGTGTTTTCTGTGTGTTACCTGAGTGTTATCTCTGTGTCACCTGTGTAATACGCGGTAAGTTCCTACTACCTAGCTGTATATACATTACTAACACACGGTAGGTTCCTTCTATAACTGCATGCACACCTGAGATTGCTTCATAGTGAGGGCATCTACGCTCCTGCTGCTTGTACACATAATTATATTATTACTACCAATAGACCTGGCAGGTTACACACGTACATATACACGCACGCACGCACGTACGTACACACGTACGTACACACACAGGCGCGTACGGAAGCACGCACGCACGCACGCACGCACGCACGTACACACGTACACACACAGGCGCGTACGGATGCACGCACGCACCCACGCGCAAACACATGAGTACACACCACACGTACGCAAATACGCACCCACACACACAATACACGCACATATGTATGCATGCCACGTGTGCGCACACAAGCATGCACGCGCGTACACATACACGCACGCACGCACGCACGCACGCACGCACGCGTATTATAGGCATTACCCATGAATTCATCACGACGCCAAAAACATTTGGCATAAAAACGGGGAGCCGCCTGGTGGCAATCCACCGTACTATTCATCCAATACATGAACACATATGTATAATTATAGAGCTGTGCACAATAGGGCTGTGCTTTCACGCGCTCAGTATGTCCCAAAACAAATATTATTTCAATGAAGCTATACATTCAAAGTCGCGAATACGTACCCACCAGTATTTTGCAAGAACATTTTCTATCCTCTCATTTTAATAACTATAAGGGGACTGGTATATACACATATAGTTCCCCTTTCCCTTGAGGTCATAACGTCTATGACATATACCTTCACTAGTTACTTGTTATTCATGCAAAAAGTCCAACTGTCGTGCAAGTTTATCTTCTGTAACCACCTTAGGAAACGTTCTATAAGGCTAGAATGTTTCAATCGAATTTTTTATCGTACTTTCGTTCCACGCTCAACGAAATGTATTTACTTGCAAATCACGAGCCTTGCACGTGATCGACCTATAGCTAGTTAGTGCTTCTATCACAGATATCTATCACTATCACAGCAAGATATCTATCACTATCACATGTTTCTCACGATATCAGACATCTACGGTGACACACGCAGGACGTATGCCGTGAAATAGCGTGAGGTGTGTGTCATGAGGAACAGGGAGAGAGAGGGGGAGACATAGAGAGAGAAAGAGAGAAAGAGAGAGGAGGAGACATAGAGAGAGAGAAAAAGAAAGAGAGAGGGAGACGAGAGATAGAAGAGAGAAGAGAGAGAGGGAGGACATAGAGAGAGAAGAGAGAAGAGAGAGAGAGATAGCGAGAGAGGAGAGAGATAGCGAGAGAGAGAGAGAGAGCGCGCGAGAGAGAGAGCGAGAGAGAGAGTGACAGACATATAGGCAGAGAGCGAGCGAGAGAGAGAGAGAGAGAGAGAGAGAGAGAGAGAGAGAGAGAGAGAGAGAGAGAGAGAGAAGCAGCGAGAGATAGAGAGAGAGAGAGAAGAGAGAGAGAGAGAGAGAGAAGAGAGAGCAGAGAGAGAGAGAGAGAGAGAGAGCGAGAGAAAGAGAGAGAGAGAGATTAGTGAGAGAGAGAGAGAGAGAGAGAGAGCCGAGAGAGAGAGAGAGAGAGAGAGAGAGAAGAGAGAGAGAGAGAGAGAGAGAGAGAGAGAGAGTGACCAGACATATAGGCAGAGAGCGAGCGAGAGAGTGAGAGAGTAGAGATAGAGAGAGATGAGAGAGAGAGAGAGAGAGAGAGAGGGCAGAGAGAGGGCAAGAGAGAGAGAGAGAGAGAAAGAGAGAGAGAGAGAGAGAGAGAGAGAGAGAGAGAGAGAGAGAGGGCAGAGAGAGGCAGAGAGAGAGAGAGAGAGAGAGAGAGAGAGAGAGAAAGAGAGAGCAGAGAGATAGATGGGAGAACAGGGCCGTACGCAGCGGGGGGGGGGGGCAGCAGGAGGCAGTTGCCACCCCCCCCAGAGATTTTCAGAGTACTGCTTTTAATGGACAAATAGGGCAATAGAGGCGTGGGGAGTACTTTGCCCCCTACAAGAAATTTTCCTGCGTATTTGCCCCCCTACACGAAAATTTCCTGCGTACGGCCTTGATGGAGAACGAGGGGTGAAGGGGGAGTCCCATATTACCTAACCTATAGAGCGGTACGTTAGTAATTAAGCGTATTACATCAATCGACTCAATAAATGATAATATCTTCGATCTTCGATCATTTATATAGGCCTCAACCTGTCTGAGATGTGAATTCATCCATTTTGGTGAAAGGTCTGTGTCTGCGTCTTAGGCTGCTGCCCATGTAAACCCATACGAGAACAGCATTCAGATACAGATTACATATACGCGTCCCTCTCGCTATAATTCATTCTCTCTCGTCTTTCCGTCTCTCTCTCGTTTCGCTCCTATTCGTCTCTCTCTCTCGTCGTCGCTCTCTCTTTCGCTCTTCTCTCTCTGCATCGTCTCTCCGTCTCTCTCTCTCTTCTCCTGCATCTCGTCTCTGTCTCTCTCTCATCTTACTCTCCTACGTCCTTTCTCTTCTCTCTCTCGTCTCTCTCTCTCTCTAGATCCTTCGCCTCGAAGACGACAGTCTCATCGTCTCTCGGATCTCCGCCACCTCTCTCTACTCTCTCTCAGCTCCTTCTCTTCCTCGAATCAGAAGTCTCTCTCTCCCTCCCTCCTGTCTCGACGTTCTCCTCCCTCTCTCATTACCACTCGTTACTCATCTCATCGTCTCCTTCTCTTTCTCTCAGTCTCCTCGTCTCTCTCTCTCTTCCTGATTCTCTCTCTTTTTGCTCTAATCCGTGCGGCTCTATCGTCGCGGCGCTGCGGCTCAGTTCTGCTCTTTTTCATTTCTCACCTTCCCTTTCTCTTTTCCTCATCATCCTTTTTTTCTTTCTGCTCTCTCTCTCTCAGTCCTCCCCTCTCTTTCTCTTTCTCGTCTCCTCTCTCTCTCCGTTCTCTCTCCCTCTCCTCTCGTCCCTCTCTCTCCTCTCTTGTCTCGTCTCTTTCTCTATTTTCATCTCCCTCCAATATCCCATCTCTC